ACTGCTATTCCAAATTCTTTCACTCTTATGTCAAAGCCAGAAGATCTAATCATCAAATTAGAAGCATAATGGATGAGAAGTTGAAAGAACACAAAGATATGACAATTATTAAACAAATGGCTATAGACTACTACTCCAAGCTCTACAACAACTCCAAAGATGTAGATATGGAGCCTGTTCTACATTACTTGGACAAACCTATCAGCCACCAGGACAATATCAATATCAGCAAGGTACCAAACGAAGAGGAAATCAAAGAAGCTGTATGGAGTTTGAACCCCAACAGTGCTCCTGGACCTGATGGGTTTAATGGCTCCTTCTTCAGGGCTTGCTGGCATATAATCAAAGATGATGTAGTAAGTGCAGCACAGGAGTTTTTTGTTGGAGTTCCAGTCCCCAAGAGTTATGGAAGCACTTTCATCACTTTAATCCCTAAAAATGACAGTCCTAAAAGGTTTGGGGACTACAGACCTATATCATTATCTACATTCATGAGTAAGATTAATACTAGAATCCTTGCAGACAGGCTTCAGATGATTTTACCCAAGATTATTTCAAAAGAGCAAACTGGCTTTCAAAAAGGTATGGGGGTAGATGAGCAGATACTCCTAGTTGAAGAAATGGTTCACAAAATTGATGCTAAGATCAGAGGGGGAAATGTCATCATAAAGCTTGATATGGCTAAGGCTTTTGATAATATGGAATGGCATTACATTCTAGGCGTGTTGGATAAACTAGGTTTCAGTGATCACAATCAAAAACTTCTCTTAGCCAATTTGAGAAGCACATTCATCTCTGTTATGGTCAATGGGAGTCCTCAGGGTTTTTTCACTATGAAAAGGGGGGTGAAACAGGGGGATCCTCTATCTCCATTGCTTTTCATTATAGCAGGGGAAGGACTTTCCAGGATGCTTAAACAAAATATGGCCTCATCCAAGATTGTCAACTACAATACAGGGAGGGACTATCTTATAAGTCACTTGGCTTATGCAGATGACATCATAAGTTTTTGCAATGGTGATACAAGGAATCTGCTGAAGGTCAATACTCTTCTAAAGAGTTATATGAATGCATCAGGTCAAGAGATAAACCTTGGGAAAAGCAGATTCTATTGTGGAAAAAGTATTAAACAAAGCAGGATCTATACTTTGGAGCAACTTTTAGGAATGAGATGTAGCACGATACCTTTCAAATACCTAGGTGCTCCTATTTGTAATGGTATACTCAGAAAAGCTGAATGTGGTGATTTGATGAGACACTTTCAGAAATACATTGACACTTGGTATAGCAAGGCCCTGAATCCTATGGGGAGGCTTATTTTGATAAAACATGTTTTATCTTCCATCCCTCTACATATTCAAGTTGTTCACTCTCTCCCTACTTCTATTATTAACTCTCTACAGAGGATGATGAGCAACTTCTTATGGGGACAAAGAGATGGGAAGCATAAATATCATTGGAAAGGGTGGAAAGACATCAGCAAACCTACCTCAGAAGGGGGTCTGGGAACCAGAGATTTGGAGGATCTTCATGAAGCTTATTCCATTAAATTATGGTGGAACTATAGATACTCAGATTCCAACTGGGCCTCTTTCATGAGAAATAAATACGGGGCTAACAACTTTGATGAAAAATGACAGACTCACCAGCCAGGAAAAGAATATGCAGAATTCACATGATAAGTGGGGAATCTATGGGAGATATGCTACCAGAGGATGATGAGGTGGTGAAGATTAAGTTAAAGCATGCTTATGAAAGCTGTAGACCGCATAATAACATGGCAATTTCTGACAAGTTCTGTTGGAATAACTTGCAAATCCCAAGAGTCAAATTGTTTCTATGGAAGCTGAATGATGACATATTACCTTTCCCTGATGTTCTCTCTAGAATGAGCTATAGCCTGCCCTCTCAGTGCCCCTTTTGCAAAAAGAATGAAGCCACAGTAGACCACTGCATTCTTCAATGTGGTAAGATCAGATATATTTGGGATGAAATAGCAGATATAATAGAGGGACCTAGAATCAGGCCTGCTACAACCATCAAGCAACACATTTTAAAATGGCACCTCAGATCAGAAACCCATACACTTCGTGGGAACATGAAATTGGTGATGCCAGGAGTTATTGCTTGGTGTATTTGGAAGCAATATTCTGCAATTTCATTCGGTAACGAAGATCTGAATACCAACAATATAATCTATAACATTAAGAGCAACATGAATTTGTGGAATTGGAAATACCGTAACAAGGGATGGATGATCAGAGATGAGAGCCTGGTTAATTCGGGAATTCAGATATTTGCGCTTGGGGGGAAATCAATTGCAACAACACTCACATGATGTTGTGTAAGTCTTGCCTATCTTTTATTTTCTTGGATTCGATGTATTGTATTTTGTGTGTTGTGTAAGTTTTGGTTTCAACCTTCGGGGCTTCGGTCTAGTCCTCCCCGAACGTGTAACTCTATGATTTTATCAATAAATTCGGTAAGGGTTGCCTGGAATATATATATATATATATATATATATATATATATATATATATATATGTGGGATTGACTCTAGTGAGATGACATACTTCGGTGAGATCACGTCAAGCTCACCACATTACACTACAAAGCTCACCAATAACCAATGCAAAGCTCACCTGAAAATAAAGCAAAGCTTACCACTTTGAACACCAAAACTCACCTTTTTTAATTTTTGAAAATTAAAAAATTAATTAGAAATAAAATAGCAACACCGGTCAGTAGCGGCTTCAGGCAGCGGCGGCCAGTGGCGGCGCGGTGGCGGAGCAGCAGCAGCGGCAGCAGCGGCAGGCGACGGTCAATTAATTTTGTTAATGGCATTTATTGGTTAATCCTTCCTTTTATTTTAATATTTGGGACTCCGGCTCACAAAATATTGGCATGTCTCGAGTTTATTTGGCATTTTTAATAAATCATTCACCACCTATTTATTATTTTAATGAGTTGGTAATTTTTATCAATATACGGAGTAGTGATTTGACATTATTTTTTTTATTGAACATAGTGACTAATTTAATAGTTTTTTCTCGAGTTTCATGCAGTTAATTTAAATTTTTTGCGGAATTAGTAACTCTATTGTTTTAGCACCCGATTCATTGTTTTGTGTAATACTCCGTATGTTTGACCAATGAAAACTCTTAATATATATTAGTAAAAAATTACTAAAAATATTATTTCAAACATATTTTTTATTAGGATATTTTTTTGGCCCTTTGTTTTCCTTTAATGGAACATAATTTTTTATGAAGAGAAAAATATTACTCCCTCCGTCCATAAATAAACTTTCCGTTGCGCATTACGATATTTGACTAAAGTTATTTTCAAATCATTTTATATGAAAAATGGTGTAAAATTTAAAAATAAAAATTACATATTAAAAAAACTAGATCAAAAGATCTACAAAAACTAGAGGTGACGTGACTATATTATTTTATGAAATGGGTGAAGAAAATAGGCTAATAAAGTGAATAAACTTTGACCCTGTGAATTGTGAACGAGAAGTTTATTTGTGGATGGAGGAATTATAATAAAAAATAAGAATTGAAAAAATATATTAAAATAGTTTTTAGTTCTCCATGTGGTTTGAAAAATATGTATGAATATATCATTTGTTTTGAAAATTTATTTAAAAGATGTCTGTCATTCAAAAAGGTTGCACACGCACCACATCGGTTTGTATTATTTTTTGTTCACTTTTGCATAAAAATAGAAAAATAAAAAATGAATAAAAAATAAAGCACATTCTTTCCCCTTATGGTTTAGAAAATGAGTACTAACCCCTCACTATCAAACTTCAATTCCACTCTCGTAGCGTGAAATCCAAACAATTGAGTTTCACTAACGGACTCCATACATGAAACTTTTGGAAATCATATAGATTTATAACTAAATTTTGAAAAGAGAGTTGATATTATTGGTCGAGACTTATTTTTCAAATCACAAAGGCAGCAAAGCTATTCTTCCATTTTTTTAAAATATAATACTAACAGAAAGTAAAAATATTTCCTTTATCCTTTATATAAAAAAATTCGATTATTAACTCGAGGAGCGCAACATGTGTCATATCTATGTGGCATATTTTTTTATACATAAGCTTAAACCTAATTATTGGGTTGAACAAAAAATAACTTTTATTTCTAAAAAGAAATTTTGACAAAAAGAAAATATAATCTAAAAAACTAGAAAAAAAACTTTATTTTCTAATATAATATTTTCTTCACTTTACTAAGAAAAGAAAAATAATAAAATTAGATTATTAAAAATAAAAACTAACTGAAACAAAATTATAAAAACACAAATATGGATAAAAAAGTGTCATCGTGGTGCCTGTTTGAGAGATTTTATATTATAAATTTTAATTTTTTGGTTTATTCATTGTATATGAATTTACATGTAAAAATTCCTTATTTCGTATATTTATTTTAATACTAATAATAATGGTAATAATAATAATAGTAGTAGTAGTAGTAGTAGTAGTAGTAATAATAGTAGTAATAATAATAATAATATTTAGGGATTCTACCTCAACTCACTTTCAGAGGCTCTGGACGACACTAGCTTCAATAAGAGTACCTACGATGCTGCGTTCACAAAATTGATGGTTCCAACCTCGACATTCCGGTAAACCCTCCCACTCCGGAGCCAGTGGCTGTAGAACTGTTCTGATAAAAGTAATAATAATCTTATTATTATTACTATTGTTAAAAAAATTCATGTAAATAATTTTTAAATCACTATTGAAAGAAATTAAATGATGTTAGATAAAACTAAAAAGAGTAGAGAGAAATTTGAAAAAAGTTGGAAAAAAATTAGAAGAATTAAATTGAGAGAAACTTTAAAGTGCTGGAAGATACTAAAAGAAGTTGGTAAGTAATTGAAAAAATTAGAAAATATCAAAAGTTAAGAGTGCATTTGGTTGTGGGTAAATATGTGTTTAGAGAATTATTCTAGGAGAAAATAAGTATCACGAAAAATCATTCTCCACCACATATTTTATTGAAACATTGCTAATATTTGAATAAAAAACAAAGATATTTTGTGATAATTTTAAATATTTTAAGGGGCATAGTTCATCTTTATACACGACCAATTCCAAATTTTTTTATAGTTTTCCATTCTCTAGGGGGCGGGCGGAGGGAGAGGGTGGTCGGGGCGGGGGAGGGGAGAGGATGGGGGTGGGAGGGAAAATAAACTAGATCGAGAAATTAAAGTATTTAAGGATTCAATTAAAAATGAACTTCCATCTAAAACATACAAAAGTCATTGTCTCCTCTGAGAGAAATTATTTTTCCAAGAAAAATGATTTCTTCCACTTAAGGAACATAAATGGAAAACTAGAGTTGTAATTTTTCTACAAAATACTTTTCTTTTAACCAAAAAGATTCTAAAAAATAGAATCCAAAAGAACATAATCTAAAAAATTTGAAGAAAAGTTTTATAATCGACAAAAAGTTTGGTTGGCCCCGTGCATGGTACGGATTAAAATACTAGTAATATAAATTATTAACTTGATACATTTCTCTCCAATCTAAATTAGGAGGTAAAATAATTGATTCTAAATAAACACAACTTCTCTCCCAAGCCCCAAATGAAAAATCTAGTTTTTGCTTTGTTCTTTGTTATTGCCTCAGTTGTAAAATAAGACTTTTGTTTAGTTCATGATGTTTGAATGAAGTTATTTTCAAATCAATATAAGTAAAAATTAGTGTAGAATTAAAAAATAAAAAATAAAAAATAAAAATAACTTAGATTAGAGAAGGAATTGAAGTCTCACTACATTTCAAGTCCATGCATATTATAGGTGTTCGTTAATTTTAATTTTCTTTAATAATTTTGATGATATTGTAATTTTATAAAGGTTTATTAATTTAAATACTAATGATATTATTTACCCCGTATTTAATAAATACTTGAGAATTAAAGAATCTCAAATTTATTTTATTTTATCAAATAATTGATGAAAAATATATAAAGAACGTGAATTTAGGTTGACATGTTACATTATGTAAGAGTTTTTTTGGGATGGAAGGAGTACAAAAAAAGTCGTAGATGAGAATAACGGAGAGTCGAAGAGTTTAGGAAGAATGGAGATGACAATAGAATGAAGAGCAAATTAGGTGAGAGATATCTTTCTCTCCTCTCCCCCAACTAAACAAGGTGAAGACATAACATATCATCCCTTCACATTTCCTCGCATCTCTCCCCTCCCACCAAACTAAACAGGCCTTTATAGTACTAGGAAGTAGGAATTGAAGTGTTGGGGTTTATTTTAAAAAAAATGCTCGAATTAGGAACAAAATATCCTATCTATTTTAAAATAAGAATGATATGTTTATATTCCCAAAATTTGATTGTTGCATTGTAACAATGTGGTATCGTATATTAGAATTTCAATTATTTTTTAATGCTCCCTCCGCCTGGGAAAAATCTTCCCATTTGGACTTTTTCTCATTTTTTTGAATGGTTGATTTATGAGGTGAAATGGCTAAATTGCCCTTACTAAAAAAAACTGCTAAAGGAAAGTACATGCTGGCCGAATGGAAGGATTCAATAATTAAATAGATTGTTCACATAATGGGGGAGGGGATATGGGTTCCAATACATCAAATCAACTTTTACAAAGTAATCATTCCACAAAAATTGCAGATTTCCCTCCTCCTTTTTAGCTACCCGCCCAAAAATTTGAGAACAAGCACATTCAAATTAAAATTAAACAACATATAAAGCTCCCAGGTCTTTCCCTTTTGTGAAATTTGTTTCAAATAGACTAAGAGATAAGAGTTTTCCTCAAATAGGACCCCTTATGTTTTTTTCTGTTTTTAGGAGTAAAGGTTGTGCATTCATCCGTTTATACCCTTCGTCCACCACGCGCTTCCTCCTTTCCATGTTTAATTAGGATTTTGTTTACATATTTAGAATATTATTTACACAAATTAATAATTATTTATTCCGTATTTTTAGGAACGCACTTCATCGTCATCTTCTAACTAATAACCGTGTGTTCTCTTTATCTCTCGTTATGTTTCCCCTGTCTTCTTTTATCGTCGTCATGTTTTTTTCATTATTAACACCAGATCATATTTTGTACCTGCGCAGATATTTTATGGCTCATGGAATACAGATGGTTCAATTGCAGGTATGCATACACTCGTCATTCAATGGCATGCCTTTGTTGGTAAATTGTTTGTGCTTTACTCTTAATACCTAAGTTACTCATAATGTCCAGTGTTAAATTCTTGTCTAAATTACAGACTATATTCACGATTATAATAACCTTTTATTAGAAATCATCATAATGACTATTACACAAAATGAAATTTGCACTAAATAAGACTAAAACATAAGTCATTTCCTAATCTAAGACTTAAAACTTTTTTATTCTCTAAATAGGATTTAATAATGTCTAGTAATGATAGAAATTTAGTTGGGTAATGACTAATTGATAATGACCAAAAGTCCTACATTGGGAAATAAAAACATATGGTCCTATATTGAAAAGGCCATTATGTAAAAAGTCTTATTTAGGTAAATTTCTCCAAACAAATTCATGACGCCTTAATTATGCCTCATGTATTTCTTTTCTAGAGGCATCACACTTACATTAGTCTTTAATGTCCGGCCATATTTATTAGTCTTTAATGTCTCACCTTATTCTGAAGCTTTCTAATGTCTTAGTTATTATTCTGAAATTTTTGAATCTTATATAACACATTCCTGTCTGTATGCTCCTATGCGAATCCCCACAAAAAATAATGTCCTAATTCCTAGTTTGAAGTTTATAATGTCTAGTATAATGTATTTCAGATTATAAATTTTTGTTTAAACTTGATTGCAGGTTATTAAACTTGCTTGTACATTTGAGTTTCTTATCTTTGACAAGGATGGTAGATCATTTGTGGTCATAGAACGTGCACTTATTGTGAGTTTCAATTGGAAATTTGTCGTGTTATGATTACATATCTCCATTTTACAGCACCACTAATTGGAGAGCTGCATATAGTGGGATCATACACCCGATTCCAACTAAAGATTATTGGTTTGTCCCTGCCGATGTAGAACGTGTAATATGCCGACCTTCATCATGTTTTGAACGACCACCTGGGAGGCTAAAGAAGCGTAGGATTCTATCAAAGGGTAAACATGCTAATCGTCAATATGCTCACGAATTATGCTCACAGTGCAAATCGGCTAGACATAATAGAAAAACATGTATGAATTCGATTCCTTTGAATCGTCGTTGATCTTGTCTTGTCCCCATTCCCTTACCCACCATTTAATTCTCCCAATTTTTAGACATTTTTTTTGAATCATCATTCCATAAAATTACAATCTATTTGATATATTCATCGACATTTGTTGTGAATTTTTCCCGTAACCTCGCACCGGTATATTTTTTGTTTCATTACAGAGCAATATAGTGCACCATGTTCCCTTTATATTTCGTCTTTATACATTTTGTGTTGGATTCTATTTTTTTTAAAACCTTTGTAGTAATACCTTATAACTTTTCTAATATTTACATGTGATGAGTTTGTTTTTAGACATATTGCATCCGTAATGCCTACAAAAATTTACACGTTACTCAAATATCTTTATATGTGTATTAACATCGGCTCCAAAAAATATAACATAGCTATTATGTTCATTATTTACTTGTATATCCATCATAAACTTGATCGATAATGGTTAGCAATATAATTCACGAGGTCACTATACTCTACCAAGGATTGAATTAACATGCACCATTCTGCTCCCTACCTCACACTATGCAATGCTCAATATTTAAATTTAATTCCCACTCTGAAATCATAAAGATTCCTCCAAAAAATCATCTCAACCCCCATGACAAACTAAAAATAAAAAATGCATAACAAAAAAACATTAGTAGTTTAAATCATACGAAACATAATGTCTTCGTCCCAGTGACTTCACTTCATTTAGATATGGCAACGTATGCCAACTCTGTTGTCATCTTTTTACGATACGCCACAATCTTATGATCATCAATGTCCTGCACATCATGTCCCATCATAAGAAATTCTGTCATCTTCACTACGAACATCCCATAGCTTGACCTGTGCGTTGAGGATACAAAAACATGTTATATTAGCAACTCCACATAATGCCCTAAATGTAGTCCATTTTATTTACTGAGTCGACTTACCTGTCATTTTGTTGTGAGCAGCCCGACATAGGTTCCACTCCAAGCACGCTATCCCAAATTGCACCCTCTTCACGTCCAAAAAAAACTCCAAGATTATCCATGATTTTGGTTAGGAGCATCTAGAGGCAAGGTAAGACGGATAAAACATTTTTCCTTGAATTACTTCTCCTTGAGCTTGAATCATATTCTCTAATCAACTTTTCTGTAATGTTCAGCACCAAAAAAATTAATTATTCTTGGTACTAAGTGACATGTATATGAAATCTACACTTTTCCATGGACGTGCTTATTCGAATTTCACCTTGGGAATGACACCCACCATTGACTTCTTGTGTGATGCATCCAGAATAGTGAATGAACTTCAGTTATACTCTTTATAATGCATGTTCATACAAGAACAATGACAACATAGGACATTGACAGGCTCAAAATAGGCTCTCCTACTCCAGTCCCAGACATAGGACATTATACAAATGTCTAAGCCATAAGGACTTGAGGAATGTTATTTGGATAATGTCTCTAGAGTTTGGTTTACAGCAACCAAAATTCCCTAAGCTTAAACAAGTCATGTTTAATCTAAAAACACTTGTACTTTACACCACAAAGAATGCCCCGAGCTTAACCCACAACACAAATCATGTTTACTCTAAAACATTTGAACTTTTATTATTAAAACCTAATAAATATACAGGTGATTGAACACCATACATATTCATAATGTATAACTTTTTAATAGAAATATCTATATACATTACTATCACATTTTTACTGTTCAGGTCTCACAACTTATGGAAAGATCATATTAAAGACCAGTTATGTCTTTTAGATGTCATTAAATGAATTGAAATGATGACTAATAATGTATTAACATGAAGCCAATATAATTGAATTTATAGGCTTGGTCATTACATTACATAAAGTCTAGAAAAAAAATTCTAAAAAAATGGCTTCCCAAAATATGAGTAAAGATAAGTACTTCTAATGACTAATGTCTTGCCAAGGTATTCTGCATACGGTCTATAACTCCACAAATCATTATCCTAAGGCACCTTCTGTATCAATCAAGGCAACTCTAAGTTACAATTGATTCCAAGACCCATTCTATTTCTCTATCCATATTTCATATCTATAATGTCTATATATAAACTAACATAGTCGTATATAATGTCATTCTATGTCTTCAAGGGGCATGTCATAAAACTAACTTCACCATTACATTTTTTTTGACAAAATTGCTCTTTTACAATAACTTTTTCACAAGCATATACATCTAATCAATGGGTTTTGGATGATGCTTGCTTAAGTCATTGTGCTCAGGATTTTTGCAAATTGCATTGCACAATGTCTCATTATTCAAATACAGAACGCATCATATTTCTATAAACAATGCCTTCATGTTTCGGTTACATAATGTCTGAATTATTTTTAAAAATAACCATTAGAAATCCCTATACTATTCTCTAATCCTTCAATCCTTTACTTATACCTTCGGCTTAATCACTAGCCACACAAACATTTTCACAAACACATAGCATGCATGTTCTAATATTCCAAAATGACTAACATATGGTTTATTTCTTCATCCAATTAAACTAAAAGGAGTAACAAATGCTTTCTTCCCTCAACCAATTAAACTGAAATCTATCAAAATATTAAGATTCGGTACTTACACACCCCGAATTGATGGTTTCTCTAGCATGGTGGCCTGCAAATTAGGGATTGTTCAACAAAGTCAATATCCTCGTCTACCATCAACTTGGTCGCCATTGATTTCTCTTACTCGGCCTATGGAGAAATTTACCGCAATAATTTCGGATTTTATAACCCTAATTTCTCTCCTCCAGATGCAAAGCAAGTGTTTCTGTTTAATGTTTCAAGAAAAACAGTGAGTACAATATGGGCCATTGCAAAGAAACAACTAGAGCGGGGGGTTGCCATCAATGTGAGTAGCAGGATGATAGGAAACAGTGGCAGGAAAAGGGCGGTGATGGATGTACAAGCAATTACAGACACTCCCCTGTGGAACAGGACTACTATAAGGAGTTTAGCAGCTGCTATTGGTAAGCCGAAGTCCAGTGTTCGTGAGTGGATAAAAAAAGGTATGCTTAGAAGCCATTCTAATGCTATCAAACCTTACCTAACAGATGATAACAAACTGTCAAGGTTGAGGTTCTATTTGAATCAAGTTGACCCACACAGTATGCCCCTTCAACCTAGGTTTAACAGTTTTCACAACGTCTTGCACATCGATGAGAAGTGGTTCTTTATGTCCAAAACTTCACAAAGGTTTTACCTACTTCCCGATGAAGTAGACCCATACAGAACATGTAAATCGAAGCGGTTCATAACAAAAGTCATGTTCATGTGTGTGGTTGGAAGACCACTAATTACTGATAATGAGAAGTATTATGGGATGGCAAAGTTGGCATATTCCATTTCAGTGAATTAGTGAAAGCCAAAAAAAAGAGTAAGAACAGGGATAAAGGAGTTGTGGAGGTGAAAAACCAATCACCAGTGTTACCAAACAAGTTACAAAAGACATGCTAATCAACAAAGTGATTCCAGCTATCCAAGAAAAGTGGCCTGCACAATTATCTAAAGACATACACATTCAACAAGATAATGCAAGGCCACACATTCAACAAGATACTCAAGCCAAGAAATATGTAAAGTGAAAGGAGGTGAAAGTCACTCCCCTACTTGTACGTTGAAGCCCAAAAGTTTGGATCTGGAGTAGGTAGTAAGATGTTAAGCATATCTATGTGGAGGTGCATGTGTGAGCAGATCACCGGAGAAGTATCACCAGAATCATCACTATCACTCTCTCCCAGGAAGTCAACCTCATCGCTACCAAGATCAAAAACATCATCTTCATCCGAGGTAAGGTCAATTACCTCCTTCTCTCTGACCGGGGCAACATCGGAACCATCGTCGCCGCTGTCGATGACGATGACCTCGTTCTCCTCCTTGTTGTCAGAGATAATATCCTCGGCAATCACCTCAAAATCTTCACCTCCACCATCTTCAAATTCCGTTTCGGAAATATAAGATTCGTAAAATAATTCATGCGATTCCACTGATGAGATAGATGAAGAGGTCACGCGGATTAAAGAGATGTAGATCTAGAGGGAGAGGAATGATTTTCGAAGAGAGGAAGAAGATAAGATTTAGATATGAGTGAATGAGTGTAACTGGGTGGGAGGTGGGGAGTTAGAGAGAGAGAGAGAGAGTAATGCGTGCAGGTGGGTGGGGAAGTGGGAAGGTTTGAGGGAGTAAATGAAAATTAAATGATAAGGGTATTTTTGGAAGGATTGTGGGTAAAATTAGAAATGGGAAGATTATTTCCGGACGGGGAAAAAGGAAAAACGGGAAGATTATTTCCGGACGGAGAGAGTATTATATGTTGGTAATATTGACATTGTAGATCTACTTTGATAAAAATATAAAAATTCTATTTTATTTTTGCTCTATGTTTCTTCTCCCTCTATTGTTCTTTTCTCTTCTCTCTAACAAAAAAATACTCCCTCCGTCCGGAAATAATCTTCATGTTTCTCCTTTTTTCCCGCCCGGAAATAATCTTCCCATTTCTAATTTTACCCACAATCCTTCCAAAAATACCCTTATCTCTCAAACTCCCTAGATCTACCCTCCGTCCATTCCCGTCCCCCACCCTTTTCTCTCTTCTCAATTTCTTTCTTTCTTTCTTTCTTTCTTTCTTTCTTTCTTTCTTCTTCTTCTTTCTCTTTCTCTCTTCCTCTTCCCCACTGCATCTCCTCTTCTCTTCTTTCCCCCCCTCTGTTTTTCTTCTTCTTTCTCTTTCTCTCTTCCTCTTCCCCGTCCATCTTCTCTTCTCTTCTCTTCTCCCCTCTGTTTTTCTTCTTCTTTTTCTCCCCTTTCTTATATCTCTTCCATCTTCTAGATCTGAGCATGGCGGCGGCGATTGTGACNTGATGGCGGCGGCGATGGGGACGGTGACGGCGGTGGTGATGTGTGTCTAGATCTGCATTTCTTCGTCTTTTTCTTCTTCATCTTCTTTTAGATCTGCACCACGGTGGTGGGGTAGGTGGGGCTGGAGGTGAACATGGGGCTGCCGCCGATGGTGAGGCTGCCGACGGTAGTGGAGTGGCGGCGATGGTGAGGAGAAATGAGATGTGGTGTGACAGGCGGCAAAG